CACCGAAAAGCCCCAAAATGGGATCCCATTGGATTTGACCCACAGCCATAATGAAACCTGGGGGTTTTCGGTGGGCTGGTCGGGTCCAGCCTGGAGGCTTCCATGCTCCGTGTTCTCAGTACATGGAATTTTCAGCAGAAGAGAACCCCTAGTCAGGTTATGTGGGAAATTATGCTAGAAATATTTTTCAATGGTGTTCACAACTGCAGGATAAGGCAGGACAAAAAGGACATCTTGCCGCGGTGCACAAAAGGTGCACATCAGGACATGCGCCAAGTGAATCATCCGAAAGCAGTTGCTGGGATGGCCGTGATTCGTTGAGGGTCCAAATGTGCACACCTCCAACATCCAAAGGTTGCAAAGCGACCACTGAGGCAGCCCAGCACAAGTGTGCTCAGTGACACATGGCTGTGGCTCAAAAAAAACGGTACCAAAACAGAACTCTGCTAAGTGGAAACATGGACCAAAACCTGCGTAACCCCTCCTGTTTAACTTTGAGCCACACCCACATGTCGCAATTGTTGATCCGGTTTCATACAACTGAAAACAGAAACGGGAAAGCTTCTAAAATGGTGAAGGACTATAAGCAGCTCTTTGCCTCTGGGACTCAAAATCTGATATGAAATGAGCAGCGGCTTTTCTTCCATGAGCTCAAGGCAGACATGACCATCATGTCCTGCAGACTTCGCAGGACCACCTCCACCTGCTCAGCCGCGTGGTGAAAAAGGAAGTGGAACCTTTCTTGGGGGCCACTCACTGGTGGGGAAGCCGACTCAACAGCCATGACTCTTGGCCGCGTTTACAAGCAGCTCGCAGGAGCCTATGCCAAGTCAAGACAAGATCACACTTTGATGGCATGCCTCAAGCACTCGTCACGTGCCGTTGATATTTTCCGGACTTTCAACCATTTACCAGATCCTGGGTGCATCTGTTTGTGGCGACTGCCCTTTCGGGGTTCAAAGAAACCAATGGCATAGTAAAACGTCTGCACTCAGGCCCGAGGTTTGTTTTCCGAAATCCGCCTGATCTCTCATCTCCTCGCGGACGGTGTTGATCATATCGATTCGAACCTCACTGAGATTGACCTGCTTTTAAGGTCCAGCAGATCCAACGAGTACTGCAAGGGCAGCCAAAATCAATGAGAATGGGGTTGTGGTGCAATTCAGTCATGGCCTCTACCGCCATGGAACCTGACTGGGGCGGGGGGATCACTTTGGTCGCAGTTTTTCGATCACTTTGGTCGCAGCTGAAATCCACTCACTTTGGTCGTAGTTTGAGCATTTGCGGATCACTTCTGTCGCAATTTTTGGATCACTTCAGGCGCAGTGGAAGATAGCTTTTTGAGCACTAACAACAGGACACACACAAAGGGTGTTGCCTCTCAAACACCTAACAACAAGACATGCCGCGTGGGGTGGGGTCGACAAGGATGTTGCCTCTCAAACACCTAACAACAAGACATGCCGGGCGGGGTGGGGTCGACAAGGATGTTGCCTCTCAAACACCTAACAACAAGACATGCCGGGCGGGGTGGGGTCGACAAGGATGGTGCAACTAAACACTGTGAGCGCTCAGGCAACGGCGAAGAAACTAGGACCGAAGCGAGTAAGGAAACTAGGACCGAAGCGAGATGAAAACTAGGACCGAAGCGAGCCAGCAACTAGGACCGAAGCGAACCCGCGACCCCTGACTGGCGGGGGTCTTTGCTTGGATCGTGGTGGATGCTAGAACTTTCAACTGGCCGGAATCAAGACATAATTGGTGCTACGGTTGGCCATAAAACATCCAAGGAGACGCCTCCTACCTCGAGGGCAAAATTGGCCCAACAACATGACGACTGATTGGTGTCCTTGCATCGGGTGCTTTCCTGGTTGCTTCCCTTTCAGACAACCCGGAAATAGGCACTTGGGGGCGGGGGGCGGAAGGGGTTGGGACCCACCAAACCAACTAGATGGCCAACGAACAACTGGGACATCCTCTGGATGCAGGCTGAGTCATCTTGTTGAAACACGCATAAACCGTAAACCTCCCTTTGGTTTTTCTGGGCTTCCAACAAAATTTTCCCCCCTGGACCAGACCTGGACCAGATGGACCAGAGGTTTCCTCGTGGCGCCGGCAGTTCGCAGCGCCGCCGCGCAGTCCCGCCGGCTCCAGGTCTCGTGCTGCTCACAGGACTGGGCAATGAACGGCCGGCTTGCTAAGGTGGGGGAGGGCATCCACAGTCCCATGGGCAATCGGGGGGCAAGGAAAACCACTGGCGTGTGATAAATAACCTGCCCCAAGGTCGACAAGGTCCTGGCAAAACTTGAGAGAGCCTGTCAAACCAAGATATCGTTTCTTTCTCTATTTGCTTCTCTACTTTTTTCTTTTATTTTCTGGATAGCTCACGTTGCCCGATTTTGGAATAACAACCGTTGGGACTATAGAAGGACTTATTATTGGCATGCCTTGGCAAAGGGGGGGTCTTGGAGAGTATCCAAACGAAATAGGGGAATCTTGGCAAACCTTCTGCGTGCATCTCTGAAGTAGTATTGGCAGTCGGCTGGAGAAAGGGGGCGTCTGACCTTTGGGGATTTCTTGCGGGTTGAGGACTGCCTTTAATCAGCGAAACCCTGTTCGGCCATTCAATCTGTGGCCCAGGTTGGTGGTTGTATTGTTAGAGTGACATGCTCTGAAAGGTGGGAGCTTCAATGTTTGCAGAGGTTGTTGCTTCTGTTGGGGTCTTGAATGGGTTCTCAGAACCTTCCCACCTTAATCTTCAGCTTTATCATGTTATGGCACCAACTGTGGATCCTGTGATAGGCATCCACACGAGATGTGTGCCAAGAGCGCTCTGCCACATAGAGCGCCCTCCTTGCGTGATGAGTTAACACTTCGTGTCGTTCAGTCTCTGTGTCTGTCTCTTTGTCTGTCTCGGTCTCTCTGTCTCTCTGTCTATGTGTGCATTTGTTATGTGTGCATTTGTTATCGCGTTTGCGACGTTTGCCATGCTGGAGCACAAAAAGAGAGACTCCTTAGTTGTTGAAGGGTGTGACAGAACGACAGAGAGACAGAGGCAGAGAGGGAGAGACGAAGAGACAGAGAAACAGACGCACAGAGAGGCAGAGAGACGGACGGACGGACTGACGGGCGGACAGACAAATAGGTAAACAAACAGACACGCCAACTAACCAAGCAACGGACCAACCAACCGACCGACCGACTCAACAATGTCATCCCATGTTAGTATGACTATCGGGATCAAAGCAAATCCTGGCGTGGTTGAAAAATCCTGTTCCACATTGGGGACAGCATGTCCGAGTTCTGGCTGTGTTTAGGGCCGCCTCCCTCCCTCCCTCCCTCCCTCCAGTGCCCTTTCCCGCTGTCATTCGCCTTGTGCTGCTGCAGCAAGCGTACCACCTTGTAGTTGCAGTGCGGATGAGGTTAAGGCAACATCAACATGGAAACGTGGAGTCGAACAGCATGTTTCACTGAAGGGGCGCAAAAACTAAACCGCAATACCTAACCGTAGACCATACACTCAAGCTGAACCACCTCATGCCCATGCTGAAGAACAGACCGTGATGAATGAGAAAGCGGGGCCGGAAGCGAAAGTCAGACCATGGCCAAGACAACAGTAGCCGTCCCCTGAAGTCTTCTGTTTCTGGAAACACGATTCTGTTTCCTCGCACCGGGCCAAATATATCCATGCCAATCAATTTGTTAGCAGAATGGCAAAAAGAATATCTGGTCGCCGCGCAATTCCAAACTGAGAGACTCTATTTGGCAGTGGGTCAAAAATAGGTTCCCCAAATGGAACCCCAGTAAGTGGACACATGGACCAAAACCTGCGGTTTTGTGGTGGTTTAACTTTGACCCATACCCATTTGCCCCAAGTCCTCTCACCTCTCACCTCGATTTCCAGCCCCGTCCTCCGTCGCGGTGAGGCCAATGAGGCCGATGCTCTCCCAGGACAGGGCCGACATCGCCATGGCGCCGTGGGCTCAGCCCGTGCCGGCATTGAAGTCGGACCGGTCACCAAGCCCAGCTTTCGGTCGAGGTCTACCAAAACCCAAGTTAAAATGGCCCGGCTTTGCTCTTGTGCCCCAGACCTGGGGCTCGGCTTCGCCTAAGGTTGACTCCCGGAGTGGACCAGTGGCCTTGATCTCGGAAGACCAGCCAAGAACTTGCAGCATGTGGCTTGTTTGCGCGGTTGCTTGCTTGCCACTCCGGAGGCCAATATCCAGTCCCTACATTGTGCTACGAACGGGATGGAGCGGCACGTTAAATCGGACTGTGGCTCTGTGGAAGCCTTTCGACTGGTCGTGTGACTGGTAAAACATCTGATGTATATTTTATTCTCCCCACTCGAACGCAGCGTCGCGCCGATGCAGCTAGCACAGCTTGAGCGATGCTGAGCCTGCACTTCAAGAAGCGGCTCAAGGCCACGAACGTGCAAAATCACAGGCCCTCCGAAGTGGCCTGGACTTAAAGAAAGCAGCCAGCACAGTGTGAACACGTTGCGCCAGCGCATCAGGCCAAGGAAACACAACCCCCGGTAACAGCCTTAAAATACCACAAGAAGGCCGAGTTACCTGCTCCACTTTCAGCTCCCAACCAAACACATCGGCAACCAAAAACAAAGCAAAACGGAAAACACCAACCAACGCCCCCAAGGTCCGAGGAAGGGTCTCACCGGCAGAAAGTGCAAAGGGGTCAATCCAAGTCTGTGTCCTTTCATTGGAAACCAAAACGGGCAAAACAACAGCGGACTGCAGGTGGAAACCAACAAACAATTCCAAAAAAGACACAGGCATTTCCATGGTGGCCTCCAAATCTAAACTCGAGATCCAATCCGTGAGAGCCCTGGCAGTCGTGCCACTGAAAGCCCTCACCTGCTCATGTTGACTAAGCAGCGGATATGGATTGAGAGGCAAAGTGTCAAAAAAGTCTCCAGTATTTGGAGATGCGGTCAAAAAGAAATCGTCTCCTACCCAATCTTCATCATCAGGATCAGGGGTTTTGATCAGGGCTTTCTTGGCCAACGCAAGGAGAAAAAGCTGAAAACGACGACTGCAATTGCGGTTATGTAGATGCTGTACACAAAGCTCATCATACAGTTTCCGAAAACCAGCCGTGCCCGCATTCATTCGAGCTGACTTGGCAGCAACATCTGCTGCCTCATTCCAGTGTGCCTGCCACACCAGGTCAGAGTCAGCTACATCAACAAGTGCCGCCACATCCACATGCGCTGAGGTTTTGATCAGTGTGACTATGCCGTCCAAACTAGCAAGAAGCTGCAAGACCAGCTCCCACAGGTCTTCGTCCTTCCAGGCAGATGGAACGGCGCCATGCCGACACAAGTAGTCGTAACCATCCTTCACATACGCGCAGTCCGTGTAGACAATTGCTGAGCATGCATGAAAACGGCACCATGCCATGGCCACTATCACTGCATAAAGCTCTGCGCGCGCATTGTTCTGCAACATCCCAGGTAAAAGACCGCTCTGCAGCACAACTGCTCCGTCTGCATGTACACAAGCCCAACTTGCCAAAGCCAGTGTGGGCACTCTGGCATCTGTGCAGGATCCATCAGTGAAAATATGTTGAACACTGCCTGAAACCGGTGCCCCATGCCAAAGTGTGGGAATTCCAGGAAGTGCCGTGAGTTCACGCCAGAAACCCCTCAACGCAGCAGGTTCTGAGGAAATGCCATGATGGGTCAGAGCAACGCAGCACGAACTCCACATGCCAACGCAATCCGGAAAAGCAGCACGCTCTTCTGCATAATATCCACAGGATAATGCCCTGTGTTGCAGAGTGTCCTCTTGTCCACAATGCTCGCAAAGACAGGAAATGGAGATGTCAAATTTGCTCTTGAAGGTGTTCAGAAAACAAGTGCCATCCCGTATGCAGTCCAGCAGCGCACTGTCAGTGCGATCCAAATTTCGCGGTTTGAAAAAGGAAGCATGGTAATCAATCCCTGCCAAGCCAGCATAGTCCCGACGGTGGCCTAGTTCTCCAGCCACCGAGCATCTCCAAGCAAATTCAACCAACTTTCGGAGGTGTTGCTTTGTGAGAAGCAGAAGGTCAAAACAGCCAAAATCTGTGCCCAGAAGCAAATCAGCAGAGATTGTCCATCCAAACCAGGCACAAAAATCAAGAATCTTGGTGAAAGGGCCATGTCCTCTTTTACCATCATGCAGTTCAATGTATCGCGCCCAGCTGTTTCGAAGACCTCTGCTGATCATCATTTGCTGAAAGAAGGTGCGCCAAGTCGTCCAGCAGTCATAGAAACCGGGATCTGTCAAAATTGGCAGTACACAAGCAAGCCTCAGTGCGGGATTTGCGCCAGCTCTGTCCACTCGCAGCCCACGCATGGTCCAAGTGCGGAGTTTGATGATCCACCGCCATCCAAACGTAACCTGCGCACATCCATGCAAAGAACGCGGAAAAAGAGCTGTATGTACCACCAGAAGCTTGTACCACAAGGCAATGTTGAGTTTCCGCAACTTGTTCCAGAAAGGCTGAACATCCAAGATCCGAGTCTGCATCTGTCGATTACGATGTTGCAGGCCATAACACATGGAGGCGCCCATGTCTTTACCAGCCAATCGCACAGGGAAGCCCAAGGACTCGAGCAACTTCCTGTCAGCCGGAGATGTTGACCAGAAGGAAGACTTTTCCTGATCAATTTCCAGTCTGAAAAGATCAGTCCACACCTCCATGGTCAGGTATCCCTGCACAATGTCAGCGTAGGCACCACCCGTGATTTCCAAGTTGTCAACATAGCTGTACGCGGTAACCGCTGGACAAAAGGCTTCCATGTAAGAGTGAAAGGCAAAATTTACCAGAAGCATACCGAGGCAGGACATAGCATCCCCTTCTGGCAGCCCTGTGTCCGAGCCAATCCAGTCGCCAATTTGCCCTCGAACCTTGAAAGCCCTTTCAGAGTGCTGAAGAAAGGTCATCCAGGCATGTCTGACAGGCTCCGGAATACCCAACCGCTCTGCAAGGAAAGATATAGGAGCCCGTGGCAAACAATTGAAGCACCGAACAATGTCAATGAGCCCACCACTATATGCACAGCCCGTGACGCCCGCCAATTCAACGCCAGCATGTGGCTTGTTTGCGCGGTTGCTTGCTTGCCACTCCGGAGGCCAATATCCAGTCCCTACATTGTGCTACGAACGGGATGGAGCGGCACGTTAAATCGGACTGTGGCTCTGTGGAAGCCTTTCGACTGGTCGTGTGACTGGTAAAACATCTGATGTATAAGGATCGCTTGGACCACGACGCAAAAGCCTCGCAACACCCTGGTCTCTGGCTCTCTGCATCACTGACATGCCAGTTGTCAAAGACATCATGAACTCATTGACTGAATCCCCTTATGTTTCCTTCCGAATCTGCCCATTCCTGGATCTTTCTTTCCCAAAATTATTTTTCGAGGCCGGGAAGCGGACTTTTTCCGCGGCTGCGCATGCATCAAATGATTGTTCGCATCATTCCTCACCGGACCCGGGTCCGGGGTTGCCGATCTCGAATGGGTCACGATCAAAAGGTCAAACCAATGCAGATGACAAAGTCGCTGGGACTGTCCTTTAGCCGCCGTTTTCCCAGCTCCTTGCTGTGCCTCAAAAACATATATATATATATATAAGGTGACTTCATTCGGCCAGGCGCTGAATTCCAACCGCCGTGCCTCCCTCGGCGCCCTCAAAGCCTTTTTCAGGGCCTCCCTCAGGGCCTGTGTCAGCACCTCCCTGAGGGCTGGCAGCATCTTGAGTCCTCTCCTCCCTGTCTAAGGGCTCCCTCTCCTCAGGTTCCCGGTCTAAGGGCTCCCTCTCCTCAGCCTCCAGGCGCTCAAAGACAGCCTCAGGTGAAGGAGTTGGCAACACCATCTAGGCATATGACTATACTGCAAGGGCCTAAAGAATTAGAATGGGAGTGGAACCATGAAATGAAACTGAGTCATGACCAAAGGAAATCACCCCAGTACTTGTTTAGTTCAGTCTCCAAATGGGAGGGAGCAACCAAAATAACAAACATGCATCCATGTGTTCAGCGCGCACAACGGATTATTCGAATCGAAGGGGGTGGAAGATCTGCTGCCATCTTGGCTCAACGTTTGTAAGCTGCTTCCCAAGAACAAGGAACCCTGGAGAGGAAAATGACAACTCACATCGTATGAGCAAGGGAGCCAAGGCAAGGGTAGCCAAGCAAAGGGAGCCAAAGCAAGGGGACCAGGCATCTCAGAGTGATAGAGGCTAGTAGAGCCATTCAAATCTAGGATGATTTAGGGACATGACGTTCCCATAGCACCATATTCTATGGCACTAAACAACAATTCGACAACACATGAATCCAGAACTCCAGCCCACACACTCAGGAAGAATGCTGGCTCAGGCAAGCGGTATCCTCAACTGCCGTGTTCTGACATGTGCCATTCTGTGCCATGGTCAATCCTCGCAATAGCCCATGACCATCCCTAGCAACCCCAAGTCGGTCTTTTGATGGCACGTCTGCAAGATCCTGCAATGGCCAGCGGTGCTATCGTGTGGAATTCCAATGAATGATGTTTGTTAAAGTCTGCTGGTATCGAGTGCACAAAAGATCTTGCCCGTGACTTTACCCACATGTCCCAGGATTTAGTTGGCATGACCACTCTTTGCATTTGATGGTTCATCAACGGATAGCTTGCAGACTTCCATAAGTGACGCTTGCCATGCACGCGAGCATGGAAGCACGGCTAATCTTTAGGGGCCTTGACCCTCTTCACTTGGCAGGCCTTGGTATATCCGATTTCCTTTCGTCATATCATCCGTGGGCTCTGGATCGCGCGCCTATCATGCAACAACACAGCTCGCAGGTGAAGAATGAACATATAGGGGGTATGCGGTGCAGTGGGCTCGGCTGCACCAGGAGCCTTGCCTGCTCCTCCGCAGGCTCCACAAAGTCCAGGCGCTGCCTCTGCAAATACCTCCCATTGCCAGCAACAAACCCCGACCGCGCTACTGACACGGAAAACGGAGTAGCCGCCTTCACTAAAGTGGCAGCATGACGATGACAACGCCGACCAAGCCCAAGATCATAGCCCCAACACCAACAGCGCAAACAACAACGCCACCACCAGCACCAGCACCGGCACCAGCCCCTCACAATCACCACACCACAACAGCACCAGCAGCCAACGCCACCATTCCCACCACCCACCAAGCTGGCTCCGGCACGGGCGAGCGGGCCATCGCGCCCGAGCGGCCTCCCGAAACTTCCGGTCCAAGGAGGCAGCTGCTTCCTGCCAACCGCCCCCTGGAAGTGACTAGTGGCAATGGATGGCACAAACCTGGGGAAATATACTGCCCATTGGTCTGAACGCAGCCAACCAGAACTCTTTGGGAAACTGCCGAAGCCCACGCTCGCGGGAAACAGTCTTTTGCTGTATGATCATCATTTCGTCTGGAGCAGAACCCCTCCGGGCACGCTCAAAAGCAAACAGCTGGCAGAGTGATGGTCCTACAGTCCTACAACATCAAAAAGATCAATGTCTAAAGCAGGGACAGGGGCAGCAGGCCTATCAAACTACATACATCGTCGTCGCCCATCCTGGGCTAATACCTCCAGCCAGTATCTGGTTGGCTCCAAATTGGCTGCTTGCCGTGTCACAAGTCAGTTTGCCTCGCAAATGGGGCCCTAGTTGAAACAATCCTAAATGGGCGCCCACCTCCAAGTGAACAACTACTTGAAGAGTTCTGTAGTGAGCCGTGTGCTAAACCCAGGCTTTCCTTTGGGGACAACTTTGGAGAAGCCGCCCAACATGAACTGCACCACCCCCTTTCCTCTTCGGAGGCTTCCGCATCACCGTGCAAGCCATTTCTGGTGGGTCTCGGACGAGTTTCTCCTCCGCTGCAGCATGGCCAAGCCAAAGGCCAAGAGGATCAGCAGGAAGGAAAGCACAAGGATGGCGGTCGTCAGCGGCGAGCCCTGGCACAAGTTTGGCTATGTCTTGGGAACACTCCAGCTGGATGAACGCTCTGTGGGATTCCCTCAAAACCACGGGCTGCCCCGGTATTGAGACGCGCATGCCGGGGGTGGGGCAGTCGGAAATGGACCCGAATGGGTTGCTTCCTGCTTCGATCCCTTTCCATGCCGCCAAAAAGGGTATCAAGACAAACACCCCCAGAAGCTGTCTTATCGAGCAGGTCTCATCGATGTCGCTTGGCAGCCATGCTGCGAAGCGCATTGGGCCTCGAAGAAAGGCATTGAAGAGTAAAGTGATCTAGCCGCCGCAAACCGAGCGTCTCTGCATACTGTCCGCCGAAGCAAACAACGCAACACAAATCGCTGGATGCCCTCGCAAGTTTGGAAGGCCCCACCGGCACAGGATCATCATCTTGATGCCGCAGCTGCGCCATGATGTTCAGAACCTTAGAAGCGCTGCATCGCCCTAAAGGCTTGCTGATATGCGCCTGGTTTCAGCTATGCTGAGTACTGGTTTGTCAAGTGCTGAGCCAAGGCAAGTGACAGCGCGATGTGCCCATCCTTCCACATCCTAAACTCCCACCTTACAGTTTAAGCTGTGGCGAGTGGATCTGGGCGTTGCGCGTCGGGTCGTGGAATGTGACCTTGGCACCAGCATGGGCAAATGACCTGGCTTCATTATTTTACCATGATCAAAGTCACCCCCCAAGTCGTGGGTTAAAGGGAAACAACCCCATTTCCTGACTTTGATAACCCCCAGAAACCGTCAAAATAATGACCCCAAATGACAACTGGGTGAAGTCTGCAAATCGAACATGCGATATCTCGGCCTACTGAGGCCTACTGCTATTCACAGCGCGGAGGAAGGAATGAAGGGCCATCCACCTTGTGCAGTTGCCAGCTTCACCCGTTTCCTACCTTCGTCCACGTGAGACTTTCGTCTTTGTCCGTTTGGCCACTTCTTCTCTCCTGGGCTTTCTGTGCTGCCACGCCTGACAACACAAAACCAAGACAAAAACCGAACTCAACTATTTGACTCAAAACTAAGCATACCCACTTGGGACCAGTGTTCGTGACTCCTCAGTGCAGCTGACATATCGGTCTTTCCGTGTCGCCTTGGATGAACCAAACATGTTGATTGTGTGGTTTGTTGAGTAGTGTATATATTATGATTCAGTGGGGTGTTGGTAGTACTGGTAGTATTGGTTTGGCTTTCTTTGACGCGTTTTGTAGTTTGGTTAACATGTTGACATTGTCTGGTTTTGGGCTGGGTTGGGCTTGGTTTAGGATTGGTTGGTTGTGGGTAGGGTTAGCTTAGGGATGGTTTAGGGCTGGTGTATGGCTGGTGCAGGATTGGGTTAGGGCTGGCTTAGGTAGGTTTAGAGGTTGGTGTAGGTGGGTTTCTTGAACAGTTACAAAACGTAACTGAGCGAAACCACAAAGTATAAACAATCATATATTGGAACTTGACAAATAGAAACAAATAAAAGTAGTGGAAACAAAACACGATTACCTACTAATGGGACGGACATTCTGAAAATTTAGGCATTGCGAATGATAAACTCAATTCAACATATTGTGAATTTACTGATATATCACATTCGATTGATATGACCGACTATTAGAGGCATACTATATCATACGGAGACGGACTTGGAATGGACATGTGTGAATGCTTACATGAAATATTGTTTAATGATGACAGTGACAGTGAAAGTGAAGGAGATGATGGCATAGTAATTATATCTATGTGTTTAGAAAAATTCATGTTGTTTAACTATAACTTTAAATTTCCCCATATGACAATAAGAACACACTGTAGAGTGTGGCTGTAGGGTATAGGTGGGTTTAGGGTTCATTTAAGGTTGGCTTAGGGTTGGTCTAAGTGGGTTAATAAGGTTGGCTCAGGTGGTTCTAGGGTCAGTTTTGGTTTAGGGTTTGTATGGGTCTGCTTTCGGATTGGTTTAGATGAGTTAACTTTGGTGCATTTTGCCAAGGGATGTTAGGACTTTAACTTTTTGCCAACTTTTTTGGGTTTTCCGTATTTTTTACCACTAAAAGTTTTCAACTTTTAGCAGGGCTTCGCAGAAAGCCGAGTGAAGAAGCTTGGGTCAAGGCGGAGGCTGCGGGAACTCGCCGGCCTGGGATCCCCGGCGGCTTTGCAGCGTGCCCATCTCCTCGGCCGCGAAGCGGCCGTTGCAGCGCTCCTGCGCGCTTCTCAGCTGCCCGTTTTCAGAATTCCCGCGAAAAGCGACTTGCTTTTGGTGGGTTAAATTCGGAAACGACCACTTAACCCAAGGCTAACAAGCTAAGGGACCGGATGGCTGGGAGCCACCAAGGTTTGGAGCCGAATCGGTGGCTTGGTGGTGAAGAAGGGGTTTCCCGTTGACCCTCTACAAGAACCAGGGGTTCAAATCCGAATCCAAACCACCAATTAGGGGACACCTAAACAATTGTACCTATCCAGCTGAGCTTCTGCAAAAACAAGTCGCCCACAGTCCTAAAATGGCGGTGGGTCCAAAAAAGGTGGAAACGTGGAATAAACACGGCGGTCCCCTGGTGGATTTATTTTGCCTTAGCCCAAATAGAGCTCGGAGGTCAAATCAAGGATCAAGTCAGACCACGGTCTATGGCTAACGAATGCGAAACCTGCTAGCGCAGGCACGCGGAGGCCTTCGCTTTTGGATCCCACGCTCCGCACGACTGTTCCAGACTGCTGTGAGACATAATCCCATCAAGAAATCTCGAGCAAGCTGACACAAGAACCAACAAACCTGAACACCACGTGAACCTTGCGCTGCTGCAGAGTCATGGCACATCTCTAAAACTTTATTCGCAACAATCACTGGTCCTTAAAAAGGGGATATGATGCTATGCACCTGAACTTTAACTGCCAACGAAACTGGCGGTTGGCCTTTTGATCTGGAAGAAGACGCTAGAGGTTATGTTTGCAGTGGCAGACATGTATCTTTTCAGGAGCCCTGTTGGGTCTTGTGCGCTAGCTCTTTACTCGCAAGTCTTCATGGAGCAGGTATGCCTCATCCAAGCGAATCACTTCACTGCAGGCGCCGGATCCAGCTGCTCCCGTTTTCCATATAAAAACGTCAGGTTGATGCGCCGGTTCGTGTAACCTGGCCAAAGCAAAGCGGGGAATCCCCCAGGATTGGGGCTGACGCAAAATGTGCATCATGTGCTACGTTGAAAACACCTATTTTGAACAATGAATACCCTCAGTCGAACGCGACTCATACGCCTGGAGTATTGAGATGTTGATGATCCCTGCCCACTTCCAGCAACGGCGGTTGTGAGGACCCACCGACCCGATCTGATGCGTGCGTACCCAGACATCGCCCTGCCTTCACGGAACGACATATCATCTGATCTGTGAAAGTAGGTGGAGTCAAACAAAACCTCAGCCGGGTGAGTGCTGAGAAAAACACGGTGAATCAACCCGGCGGATTCCTCTAAAGTGTGTCCGACTCAAAGGATCTCTTTAAAAGGGGACACCCCAAAAATCCTGTCCCAGAAACACTCCCGGCCAAGCTGCCGCTCGATTCTGTACATAAGGAATGGTGCGATTCCAATAGCCAGATTCTTCAAGAATCTCCTGGGGGGCATCCGGTACTGGCAACTGTGGAGATCCTCCAGATTTATCTGAAGTGAACACGACCGTGCTGCGAGAGGGTTCCGGGCAAAAAGCTCTTCGGGGCTTCAGCTGCGTCTATCTATCTATCTGTTTGTTTATCGTTTAGCTATCTATGTATGCATCTTTCTATTTATCTCTCTCTCTCTATCTATCTATCTATCTATCTATCTATCTATCTATCTATCTATCTATCTATCTATCTATCTATCTATCTATCTATCTATCTATCTCTTTTTCTTTCTATTTATCTCTCTATCTCTTTCTCTCTCTATCTCTCTCTATCTATCTATCTCACAACCATCTATCACACGACCAACTAAACCTTCAACACCGGCGGGGGGTTGTTTGAAGGGTGCTAGGCGCCTCAAGTGATAGTCAGGAGCTTTCGCTGGCTGTGTGTGCGTGTGCGTGTGTGCGCGTGTGCGTGTGCGTGTGCGTGCGCGTGCGCGTGTGCGTGCGCGTGTGCCTGCGCGTGCGCGTGTGCGTGTGCGTGCGCTTGCGCGTGTGCGTGCGCGTGGGCGTGGGCGTGGGCGTGGGCGTGGGCGTGTGCGCGTGCGTGCGCGTGTGCGTGTGCGTGCGCGTGTGCGTGTGCGTGTGCGTATGCGTGTGCGTGTGCGTGTGCGTGTGCGTGCGCGTGTGCGTGTGCGTGTGCGTGTGCGTGTGCGTGTGCGTGTGCGTGAGCGTCCTTTGGAGCCTTGGCGGCCTTTGAAGCCTTTTTCGGGCCCGCTTTGGCTTCCTTGGGAGCCTTGGACTCTTTCGGAGCCTTGGCAGGTCACCGACGGAGGCGTCTCGGAAGACCTCCTCTGAACCCACTCCGTCAAGGGCGCTTCGTCCGACTCCTCAACCCAATGGCGCTGACTACGGCTCTGTTTCTTATTGTGTCTACGGGATCAAACAACGAAAAGTGTTGTTAAAACCAGGCGAAGTTGCCGATTTGGGACCGAACACTTTGTCTTCGTCGAGCATTGGCTCGTTCTCGGGGTCCTGACGGGCCGATTGCTCCGATAAGGTTCGTTTGCCCCGATAAGGTTCAAGACCAACAGCGATAAGGTTCAACTTCAACGAAACGTTGCCAAGAACAAGCAGAGCGTCGGAATCGGGCCCAGAGACAAAGGCCGCCTTGGGGCTGTACTGCAGGACGTCATAGTGCGAGGACCCCACGTGCGCAAGCGCACGGGTAGAACCACGCGCGCGTCCTGGCAGGGAAGCTGCTGGGCAAAGAATCACCCGATAAGGTTCAACTTTGGAAGAAAGAAAGAAAGCTCACACACCCTTCACGCCTGCGGGTCGGTGTTCCTCCAGATACAGGAACCCGCCCGTGCGCTGGTCAAAGACCAGCACATCCACCAGGAGCCCGAAGTAGTCCGCGAAGACTTGAACTTCGCAAGACCCGCCCCAGACGCCCTGCAGGGATAAGGTTCAAAACTCTCCTTGACCCGCTTGGTTTTTACGTGAACGTTCCCGCTTGTGCCCCTCCAGCCTGCGCGGATTGGTTCTCCACGTAGGCGGCAAACTCGGCTTGAAGGGCGTCGTCGTCAAGCCCCATGAGCTGCCAATATCGCCCCGGACGCTTGAGGGTCTCTTCGCAGAGCACCTTCCTCATGGTGTCCGCCGTCCCGCCCGCGAAGTGCGCCAAGGCGTGGTAAAGACAGTCATTGTCTTTCGGCATGGCCAAGAGCTCCATGCCGATGTCGCGAGCATACTCCTGCAAAAGGCCGGTGGTGACAATAAGGTTCAAATTTGTGGGAAAAAGGTTCAACTTTCATCGAACGAGAGTCCTTCGTATGCTGCGTCCGCAGAGCATCCTCAAGCATGTCCACTTTGGACATATGCTTGGCCCATCCACCGTAGTGGTCAGGGCCTTGAGATACCCAAGGGTCTCGCCTTAGGATGCACCAAGAGAAACAGACCAAACGAGAAGACAAGCCTCCGTGAAAGTTGCTGCCTAGGCGCCCGCCGGATGCTGGAGCACAATGTAGTCCAGCAGAGCCGCTTTCTCTGGAAACAGCCCGCGCGCCTTGCTGACCAAGTCAGAGGCGGCGGGCGTGTTCCAATCAACTGGGAGGCTTTGGATGGTGGGCGAGCCCTTCTCCCCAACCTCCTTCTCCAGCCAGGAGACAAAGTCCTGACAGGGGCAGGCGCTACCCAGACCCAATTGAACCTTATTTTCGAAGCCTGCCTCGGTGGCGTTCTCGCAGAGCTCCCGAGCGAACTCGTCTACGAGGCCGCCGCGCTTCTCCAGATCAGCGATCAGAAGCTTCGCGCGGGAGTTAAGCACGGCATCGACGGAAGCCATTGGATCCGAGATTGGAGAACGGGGAGGCGATTTGATAGTGATAAGGTTCAAAACTGCTAATAAGCAGGTGCCCCAATAAGGCTCAAAACGGGGCAGGGCTGAATAGCCGATAAGGTTCATTCCTGGGCCACAAAAACAAAGGCCAGAGCCCTCCAAAAGCGCCTTCCAAAAAGCGCCTCCCAGCAGACATGGCCACAAAAATGTAGCCGAGGCCGTCAAATTGACAAGCTGCAGACACAGACGCTTGCAGCGCTTTAAGTAGAGCGCCGCAGCGCTTGGGGGACACAGCTTTCTTCCCTTGCACAGAAGCAGTCGCGCTTACTATCAGATCTGAAACGGCGGCCCTTCCAATAAGGTTCAAGAACGGGGGGGCGCCCGACAAGGTTCAAAACGGCCCGGCCACAACAATGAGAGCCGAAGCCGTCAAAAAGTCAAACAAGCTGCAGACACAGACGCTTGCAGCGCTCTAAGCAGAGCGCTGCAGCGCTTGGGGGACGCAGCTTTCTTCCCTTGTGGAAGCAGTCGCGCTTACTATCAGATCTGAAATGGCGTCTCTTGGGTCAGGGTCTGGGTTTTGTGTTCTGGCGCTAAACCTTTCATTTCAACCCTTGAAGTCTGTGTAAACTGCGTCACCGTGGGCAAATTTTGAATCACAACCCGTTGGGGCAAAACGAGGGGCAAGAATAAGGTTCACAACGCCTGCGCCAGATAAGGTTCACCCGCTGTCTAAGACCCTGGAGGTTCAATCAAGTGAATGCTCACCCGCCAGTGCTTTTCTGCCTCAAACTCGCGTGTGCGCGTGTGCGCGTGTGCGCGTGTGCGTGCGTATGCGCGTGCGCGTGCGCGTGTGCGTGTGCGTGTGCGTGTGCGTGTGCGTGTGCGTGTGCGTGCGCGTGTGCGTGTGCGTGTGCGTGTGCGTGTGCGTGCGTGTGTGTGTGGGTGCGTGGGTGCGTGGGTGCGAGGGTGCATGTTTGTGTGCGTGTGTTTGTGTGCGTGTGTTTGTGTTTGTGTGTGTGTTGTGTGTGTGTTTTGTCCAAACCCCGTCCTTGATCTCAGGATTTTGGCTCTCGCTATTGTAGCTCCCAAAGTCCCAGTCAGATGGTGGGCCAACACCATAAACCACAAGCCCGCCCGCCGGCAAAGAGTCGTCGGAGGCCCAAAGGTTGGCCTCAAGGTGCGAGCTGGAACAGCCCTCTAACCTCTTCTGTTTCTGCGAAGCTTCCACTTGCGCTGGCGTTGGGAGGCCTGCAATTCAAGTTTGGCTA